TTGTTTGTTGCTAATTTTAAAGCCCAGTGAAAATTATTTCATGCTTGTTCAGGAAAACACGAGTTTAGAAGTCACGTATATAATATAAAAATGAAGAGATGGAATATGATTGCTAATAAGGCAACTATCCACCGGAGTTCAAATATGAAGTGGATGTAAGCAATTATAGATAAGATAAGATAAGATAAGATAAGAAAAAAATATTTTAAGTCGGGTTACATGAAATACTACAAACATAAGCTCTGTTGAGCTTTTTGCCGTCATGTAGACAAATGCTTTTGGTAGACAATCGTAAGGCCTTCAACAATGACAAAAACCTGATACTGTAAAGTCGTCTATAAAAGGCCCGACATGAAAAGTGCGAACAATTCAAACAAAAAAACTAACAGCCTAATTATACATAACAAAACAATTTACAAACTATCAAATATGAGTCGAGACAGGAACAAACAATAACCACTAAACTACAGGCTCCATCCCTGGGACAGGCAAATAAAGAATATGGCAGGGTGGATATAAAAACGAAGATGTGGTATGATTGCAAATGAGACAACTCTCCACAAGAGATCAAATGACACAGAAATCAACAGCTATAAGTCACCGTACGGCCTTCGACAATAAGCAAAGCCTACACCGCATAGTCAGCTATAAAAGGCCCCGAAATCAAAAATGTAAAACAATTCAATCGAGAAAACTAACGGCCGAATTAATGTACAAAAAAATGAACGAAACACAAATATGTATAACAAAGCAACAAACGGCAACCACTGAATTACAGGCTCCTGACTTGGGACAAGCACATACATACAGAATGTGGCGAGGTTAAACATGTTAGCGGGATCCCAATTCTCCCCCTAACCTGGGACAGCGGTGTAACAGTACAACAACATGGTTGTGAGCAACACATCCCGAATTGCATTTGAATGAAAATTTTACCATTTGAATGAAAAATTATACCATTTGAATGAAAAATTATACCATTTGAATAAAAAATATTGCATTTAAATGAAAAAATATACCATTCAAATAAAAAAATATTGCATTTAAATGAAGAAATATACCAATTAAATAAGAAATATTGCATTTAAATGAAAAATATCAAATTTTTGCAACCAATACCATGCCATAGCCGCACCGATAGCTGGTAAAAGGGCAGGAATCAACTGCAGTGGTTTTAAACCTTTCTGTGAACCACTAAACTACAGGCTCCATCCCTGGGACAGGCAAATAAAGAATATGGCAGGGTGGATATAAAAACGAAGATGTGGTATGATTGCAAATGAGACAACTCTCCACAAGAGATCAAATGACACAGAAATCAACAGCTATAAGTCACCGTACGGCCTTCGACAATAAGCAAAGCCTACACCGCATAGTCAGCTTTGAAAGGCCCCGAAATCAAAAATGTAAAACAATTCAATCGAGAAAACTAACGGCCGAATTAATGTACAAAAAAATGATCGAAACACAAATATGTATAACAAAGCAACAAACGGCAACCACTGAATTACAGGCTCCTGACTTGGGACAAGCACATACCTACAGAATGTGGCGAGGTTAAACATGTTAGCGGGATCCCAATCCTCCCCCTAACCTGGGACAACGGTGTAACAGTACAACAACATGGTTGTGAGCAACACATCCCGAAGCTGGGACAGTGGTGTAACAGTACAATAAAATAACAACCTGCACAAATCAGCAAATTAACACAAAAGATCGGTACGAGACATACAAAAAAAATAACATTAAGACAATAGACACAAAGCACCGACATAAGAGTATTTGCAATTACTAAAAGTTTGCTCAAACATAATTACAACTGGTACTGAAATAAATCTTGTTCTCCCAGACTGAGTTATCAATCAGTACACAACGCGCGGCAAAGGATTTATTAAAAAAAGAAAGCAGTCTGAGAAACGTCTGGTTTACGTTGTATATAGATATAAGAAGATGTGGTATGAGTGCCGATGAGACAACTCTCCATCCAAGTCATAATTTGTAAATGTAAACCATTAAAGGTCAACGTACGGTCTTCAACACGGAGCCTTGGCTCAAACCGAACAGCAAGCTATAAAGGGCCCCCAAAAAATTAGTAGTGTAAAACCATTCAAACGGGAAAACCAACTGTGTCTAATCTATTTAAAAAAACCGATATACTTGCATATAAATCCATATACAATGAAACGGTTTTTGAAAAGTGGACCGAACGTTTTGACCATCGAAATTTTGCAATTGAAATATTAGTTATGACCACAAGATTTTAACAGCCAGTGCAGGACTCGCACGAACGTTAGATTTAGTTAGAGTGGCGATATTCTGACGCGTTTTTTAATTCTTGGTCACCCATGTTTAGAAAGAAAGGGGAGAAATCCAAACAATTTCCGACCAATCACAAACGTTGTTGCAAATTTGACCTTATGACGTCAAAGAATTTCCCATAATGCAATTATTGTATATAAATAAAAAACTACTATACCAATTGAATAAAAAATATTGCATTCAAATGACATTTTATACTAATTGAATAAAAACTATTGCATTTGAATGAAAATTTTACCATTTGAATGAAAAATTATACCATTTGAATGAAAAATTATACCATTTGAATAAAAAATATTGCATTTAATTGAAAAAAAATATACCATTCAAATAAAAAAATATTGCATTTAAATGAAGAAATATACCAATTAAATAAGAAATATTGCATTTAAATGAAAAATATCAAATTTTTGCAACCAATACCATGCCATATGCGGCAAATACAATAGGTGACATAGATCAAAATCTGCTATACACTATTGAAAAATGCAATATTTTGCAACGGCAATCGGAACCGTAGACAAAAGTCTGTTGTACACGATAGCAAAAACAATTGTTTTTAATTGCAATCGGGAACACAGATCCTATTGTATCTGCGATACCGATAGCCGGTAGTAGGATGTGAGATTACAATTAATAATCTTGCACAAATCTCATAAAAATGATGCCGTATCAAATTCTTCAGAAGGGTAAATATGCATCCGTCTTAAACTTGCAGTGAGGTGAGAGATTTTTTTGCTCCGTGTTGAAGGCCTCACTGTGATTTTGAGATGAAGAACAGCAATAAAATCGCTATTCCTTTGCTTTTTGTGTGGTTTTTGCTGTGCATGTACTGATTTTGTGTCATCGATGGATACCCTACATCTTTTGTGTTTCCATTGTTCCTTAAAAGGCATTAAGCCCAATCGTCCGTATTACTGAAATGTTAAATTTACCTTCTGCATTTAGTTGTTGTAATTCTTTAACTTTTCAGATCTTTAATTGTCATGCTAGGGCACTTCTGATGTTTTTATCAGATTTTAACATTATGTTTACATAAATGTATTTCACAGCTTACTTTCCCCCAAGAAGCTGGTACATATCCAGTAGTTCTATTCGTTGGCGGTCTGAATGGATACATTTTGGTAGAATTATACGAAACAGTATTATATAGAATTGCTTCTCATGGTTTTATTGTTTTTGGAATGGACTATCGGTTTCCTGTAGAAAATCTTCATTTTGAGAAGGATAATAAATTACAACAAGACATTTCAAAATTTTTTGACCAATATACTTGGGTAAGTATTCAAAGTAAATACAGATTTGATCGTTGACAAACATTCCTGTATTTATTTATTTATTTTTTTTAATTTTTTTTTTTCCTGTAATTTTTACATTGATGGAACCCATGCAACTTATGAAGATACTGTAAAAAATGAAAACAACACTATATAATTTTATGCGCCCGAAGCGCGTTTCTTGATTTACCTTCATCAGGAACGCTCAAAGCCCAATATTTGAAAGCAAAGGATGTATAAGAACCGAAACAGTAGAAAAGCTATAGAACCAAAAAGAACCTAAAATAATACCCAAATCCATCTAAGGTCGACTTTGCCTGAGTGAATCGAAACCTTTTTTGAAATATTATATATTTATGAACGGACACTTTTAGAAAGGTTTGTTATAAATTTAAGAAAGGGAATAACAAATTGTATATCATATCGCCTGCGTGAAATAAGGATGCTAAACCGCCAACGAGATGATAATTGCGATAACTAATTGTGCAAAGTTCAAAATGTCAGAAGAAAAAATAACTAGGCAATGCATATATCATTATATGTATAAATAGTTGTTAATAGTAATTGTCTGAAATTTCCGTTTGTCATATTCCATTTACTAAGGCATGTGAAGTCAACTTTAAATCAGGTTTACTTAGGGTAATTGTCAACTTTCTTTGGTCTATAGAATATCAATAAGGCGTCAGTATATGTAACACAAGTCATTTGATCTTGAATGACGCTTGTTTGTCGCCGTTACTTTGAGTCACATCTCAACGTTATTTTGTGTAGAGCATCCAGTAGCGGATCCAGTGTGGGGTGGGGTGGAAGGGGGCTTGGGGGTCCATGGGTTGTAACCCCCCTTTTTTTGACGATCAATGCTTTGAATGGGAACATATAGTTGGAACCCCCTTTTAAAAATGGCTTGACCCGCCCCTGTCATCGTTGTATACTTGACCATTGAAGTAAATGATATAATTCTTCCTTGACTTGATTAATGTCAACTGAATGAAGTGATTTTTTTCCAGTGTTCACCCAAAAATCTCATAAACTTTTCACGTAGTTTCTATATAATTATTCTTAAATATAAAAAAACAAACAAATTGAATCTTTTATTTTTAGCTTCAGAATTATATGTCTAATAAAACAGTGGCTACTATAGCATGGAATACGACTGCTTTAGTTTGTCATTCTTCTGGGTGTGATGTTACTCTAAAGATGATCAAAGAAAAGCCTAAGTTATTCAAGGTATTTATGTCAATACGATATTAATCAAGTTATATAATTGTGTACTCTTATTGTATAGTTCAAGACAATAGGCAAGTAATGCATGAAGTTTGATTTATATTTAAATACAGAATATGAATTTTTTTTATCGTTTAACACACATGGATAGTTGTCTCATTGGCACGCATGCCACATCTTCCTATTTATATGTACATGAACTTTTCTGCCGAAGGTCTAAAGTTTTTCTGGTTATTCCGGCTTACTCCATCAATAAAGACTGGCCTGCATGAAACAGCTAAAGTGGCTGTAAGTGGCGTTAATCAACAAAAAACAAACAAAACAAAACATATTACTTTCTGGAACGAGACTTTAGATCTGGTTTAATAACGTATACCATATACAGTTCATTATACAGAATAACATAACATTCAAACATCCGCAACAGACGAAAGTACATAGCTATGGATACTAATAAACTCATCATAATACCAGGATTAAAATTTTATGAGTCAGACGCGCGTTAGTCAAGAAAAGACTCATATGTGACGCTCAATTCAAAAAATAAAAAAGCCATATAAAGTACGAAGTTGAAGAGCATACAATTTTAGAACTGCAAAAATACTGAAAAATTCGGTCTAGAAGATTCACTGTGAATGTTGCCTTGATTATACATGGAACTTTAACAATTACTTAGACAATCAATAGATAAAACTCTCACATTTTTTCCAGTCGACCGTCTTCCTAGAACCTTACAGTCAGGACGTCAAAGACAAAATCGATATTAAAATGCCAGCATTTATGTATGGAACACAACTATCAGATGAGGGAAATAAATGTGCAATTCCTGGCTATGACTATAATACATTTTATGACCTATGGAGCTGCCCTAAAATTGTAATGAATGTAGCAGTAAGTACCAGTGCTGTTTTTTTTACATACTGTAATAGTTTATGAGTAAATCACATCTGGTGATATTTGATTTTATTACATTGGTAGCATTGAATTACATTGATTTCCCAGTCAAATAAAAACCGATAATTTCACATGTGAAATAAACGTGGTTATTTCACTCTCTGACGTCATACAACAATAGGCGTTGTCAAGACGTCGAAAACGTCGGATCAAAACAAATTGTGAATGCGTAGAAAAAAAATATAGTTCCTTACATTTTCTACATTAATTTCATTAAAAAAAAGCCATTTGCCAATGTAATAAAAAGAATAACTAATCAAAGAATTCAAATATCGAAAAATATTCAACTCGTGACCGAACAACACTGATAATTAACTCATGCGCTACGCGCATTCGTGAATTAATGTGTTGTTCGTCACTCGTTGAATATTTTTCTCTATTTGAATTCTTCGATTAGTTATTCTATAATGATCATATATTTAGTACAAAATACAGCAATTTTGTATATCTAATAAAGGTTCTTTTTCCAATCTGTATCACCTACCCTGTATCGCATAACGAAATCCGTATCGCATACCTGGCGTGACGTCATAAATCAAATGACGTCAACGTTTGACCTATGACGTCCAGTTGCTGTATTTCCTGGCATAGGAAAAAAGTGAGTTCCTACTCAAGAAATGTCATATCATCAAAAAAAATTTTACCCAGTAACTGTATTAGCGATTTTTATAAAATAGATACAATAAGTATTTTAGTGGAAACTCACTTTTGTCCAATGACTGTGTATATAGGAATCTCCTGTTTGTCTGTTAATAATCTTTGAATAGATGATACTTGGTAACATTGTTGTCCATATTTATATATACAAATGAGTTCAGATTGTAGTATAATGATTAAACTTAACAACAAATATTGGGAAGGTGGGTTGTATTCTACAGGAGGGAACAGTTGACACTATTGTTAGTGAATGCTTTTAAATACATGGTCTTAAAGTATATTATTTGCCAGTTTCATAGCTCTATATTGAGCATGTAATAAGGTTGTAGGGGACATTACGGCCCTCGGGACTGATATTGGTTTCTCGTGGTGATACAGCATGCGATACGGATTTTGCCATATATTATTCTATATATATTTGCTACTGGACGTCAAGCAACCAACAGCAATCAACATTTGATAATATCAAAATAATAATAATTAAAAGGTCCTTTAAATGATTATATTCAAAATATTCAGTTTGGTTTCTTTTTTTTTGGTCATCATATTCAGAATGCGACCTGGAAATTAAGACAAATACAATAATGGTTATTTTAAAGAGATGATGATTATTATACAGAGGTTTGGCCAATTTCTGGTGAAATTATATCACACCGGGACAATTTTCAAAAAACTTTATACTACACTACAATTCATAGTATCACAGCTTCATTTGTGTAATTCGATATTATGAAAATATTATGGCGTATTTCAAAATAAATGAACGACCTATAAATGTTTAAAGGTAGTTTAAAATGGTTTTGATAAATTTTGGAATTTTTTAGTATTTATCCCCAAGATAAAATAACAGCTTTTCATAACCTAAATCAAAATTCTATTGGTAGTAACTAGATTCATTGTCTGTCAGATACAAATAGAATCCTTTTTGTACAAATCATGTAACAATTACATTGATTTATTGAAATTGTCTTAAAAACCACTCAAGCAATATGAAACAGTGAACAATAGGATTTTATGTAAATATTCATAATTGTTGAAAAACTTTTCAGTATATTATATAAACTCTGCTATGATATTCAAATTGTGTACAACCATCTGTTGTTATTTTGTTTTTATAAAAGGCATTTTATGGTTTAGTAAAGTTCTTTTCTTATAGTCATTGGGATAAACGAAATGTAACATTATATCGTCTAATTATTCAAAGAATGTGTGCCATTTACTCTATTAAGTGTATTTATTGAGATTTTTTTATCCCGATGATATCGGTCTGAGAGGTCATCTCTACCACAAGGAACGCTCGTGTCAGAACAGCCTGTCAGAATGGGAACGTTTAATCCGATTTATTGTTTGTTTGTTTTCGTTCTAATAGCCACTGAAAATAAATACAATCAACAATCAATCAACGAAACGCTTTCCTAAAATAAAAGATTTTTAAAACATAAGAGGCGGGACAAGGAAAGTTTACCTTACATTTGAGTATCAATATATACTTCTCGGAGGTTTTCCACTTGAAGAATTTTAATCTTTTTCAAATTGATTTTGCCTGAAAGCACATATGTATATAGTTTTTGAGAAACGACTATTGCTTCCTGGTCTGCCATTTTGACTTTGAATAGGATGTATATATATATTGTTTTTGGTATTTTCAGGACTTTGGTCACTGTGATATATTGGACCCTGAGCCTTGGGCTGGTAGGTGTTACCTTTTATCATTTTAGAAAAAAAAACATAATGTTATAATAATAATGAAAGCTTTAACTTTCAATAAAATTATTCATTGCAAAAAAAATAAATACTCATTATATCTTTGGCCGCTTAGAACTTCCTACATGAATAGTTACAAATTGCCGAATTTAAACTGACCCTTTTAAATAATACTATACAACATTATAAAACTGTTCATTAATCGGCATGTACCAGCTTAAGACGACGTTTTCGTCCGTAATCTAGTTGAAAACTACCATTATTAGGAGTTTATTTAGACAGTTGACTACGAAACCTTTACATGTTACACTGGGGAGGCGTTTCACTTAGTCAACTGTAAACGAATTATACATCTAAGAATTTATATTCAACCAAATTGGACATAAGTTATGTATGTTTTCCAACTGAAGTCTTATTCTAACACCAAATATGACTATTTTTTATTTTAAGCATGTCGAGACGTTCACCATTGTAAGATAACAACGAATACAACAAAGCTTCCAGAGTATCACGAATTTGTACAAGGAGCAGTCAGTAGTTTCCTTGTGAATACACTACAGAATAGAACAGATGCTTTAAAGTATATTATACAGAAACCATTGATTCCATTAAATTTGCTGGAACTAAAAACTGATCTAAACTGTACCAAAAGCTTTCACTATTTGAAATAGTTACTGTATTGTGAAGATAGCTAATAAGCGTTCAGATTAAATGAAACTTTTCATCAGTATTTACGTGAGGATGATACAAGTTTGAAAATTTAAAGTAGAATCTGTAATTAATGCATTGTTATATAATTACAGGATATTAAACGTTTCTGTTGATAGTATTGTTAATTTTTTTCATTTGCCTGATAATGATGCATACAATGACAGAGTAATGTAAAATCTATGTAGGAATCATTACGATCTACAAAAAATATCAGAGATGATTTTTCCAGCCTTTCAATTGTAGAAATGCGGGTATTGGAATTTTACTACTATTGAGGTTCGAGTACGCTCTTTATATAGTGAAAAACAATGCGTATACTTGTAGTCATCCACGATCTCAAATAGTGTGAAGATCTGGAACGTACCAGTTTCATCTTTGTGCTTGTTGTGTGAACTCAGAATATCAATTTCACCATTGTGGTGCTGGATCTGAGAACAAAAAATATCAGTTTCACCATTTTGGAGCTTGTTATGTGAAATAAGAATATCAGTTTTGTTGATCATGGTGGTTGTTTTTTGAACAAGAAATATCATTTTCATCATTTTGGTGCTTGTTCTTTGAAAACGCCTGATGCATTTTTCGGCTTTATCACTGTTATCCCAGGAATAGATTACCTTAGCCGTACTTGACACAACTTTTCCCCAGGTTAAATGTATGCCTGAACGCTCACAAGCATTTTGAAACAAGCTGCACACTTAATGTCCTTAACCCTAATCAGAAGCCGGGTTATTTTCAAATGGTTTTCGTTCCTGTAAGAGTATTTCCTTCTTCATAAAATTTCATTGGCTTGAAAGGAAGTTGGTTTTATTTTTAGAAATTTTCAAATTTAGGTTACCTGAGATCTTTTATATAGCTTACCTTATTGTAAAGGGTTTTGCTCGTTTTTGACAGCACGATGATACCAAAGTGAAAATACAAAATTATGAGTCGAAGAATTATAAACACCACTTTGGCCAACTAAAAAAGACTATCAGCAGTCCACAAAACGTTACAAAGATGTTAGTAAATATAGGAAGATGTGGTATGAGTGCCAATGAGACAACCCTCCATATAAGTTACAATTTATAAAAGTAAACCATTATAGGTCAAGGTACGGTCTTCAACACGGAGCATTGGCTCACACCGAACAGCAAGCTATAAAGGGCCCCAAAAAATTACTAGTGTAAAACCATTCAAACGGAAAAACCAACGGTCTAATCTATATAAAAACGAGAAACGAGAAACACGTATGAACTACATAAATAGACGACAACTACTGTAATCAGATTCCTGATTTAGGGCAGGTGCAAACATTTGCAGCGGGATTAAACGTTTTAATGGTACCAAACCTTCTCCATTTTCTGAAAAGTAATAGCTCACTCTCAATCATACCACATCGCCTTATTTGTATATTGTAAAAACGCTTCGCAATACAATGACGGAGATAAAACTGTTTATTGGTGATGCGTTATGTGTTTTATAGGTTTCAGATTTAAAAATTACAAAGTATAAAGATAGAATTTTCTCAACGAAAAACTTAACGATCAGTTTTATCCAATATATAACGCAATTCGTCTTCATGTTTTATTAAATCAACTCGACAATAGACGTGGAAATTTGCCACTTCTTTGATATACGGCTTCTTCTACTTCACAATGAACACATGAGTGGTTGGTGTTATGCCTGAAAACAAATATAAAAAATTCATTCGTTACCTTATATTTACCACTCGAGTCCGTATATTCCGACAGTTACCGACTTAGAATTAACCCACTTAAAATTCTGAGAAAATTTAATCAATCATTGAAAATAAATATGTAACAATAAGTGCATCAATGGTTTTATAATTTTGGTTACCAAATACAGAGGCAAATTTTCCATTCGTCCTTTTATTTTTTGGTTAAATTTGTTGTTTGAATTATAATCGTTCTAACCCAGTCTCACAGTCTCTACTGGTATTGTTCCCAGAGTTTAGATTCTAAAATCTGTTATGATGGGTTTTACAAAAGGTTAAACGATTTACGACCAATTTAGTCTGTATAGTTTGTTTTACAAAATGTATTTGTATTTATGGATTAAAAAATTATTGTGACTCAGTAATGGACAAGATACATTTACCAATCTGATTTATCACCGTATATAATTCAAAGTACGTTAAAAGAGTAAAATGGTAGATGACACTAGCGAAGAAAGTTTAAAGGATTTACGACGAACCCTTCCAAGAAATTTAGTCCTAATTTTTCTACGATTATTGTCTCAATTATATGATAATTTAATACCTTTTATGATCTTGTTTACTTTTTGTGCTGAATAGAGAGTCATTAATCTCTCAATTCTTTCGAAAGGTTCATACCATATTGTGCAAATTTAAATTAAACTTTCTCTTTAAAATATTTGAATAAATTATGAAGAAAAAAGTCGCAATCAATACAATACAATACAATACAATATTTTTATTTTTCCAAATTAAAGGGCCCATTAAGAGCATAACATTAATAACAACATGACATAGACATTACAGAGTGATTAAAGAAACATAAAATAATAGTTCAAATGCATGAGGAAAGGGTCAGTGGTCAAGTGGAGATAATTTTGCTATCTATTATATCTTTTAGAGTATTTAATTAATTTTCTGATTTTCTAAGTTGCAGGCCTTTATCAAGGTATGCACATAAAATAGATAAAAAACTGCTATCTTCATTACTCATGATCCATATAAAAAGATCATTTCTGTTTAAATTAACTAAACTGGGGTATTTTTTATATAATCAGTCATATCTCTTCTGAGGTTATTGTAAAGAGGGCATTCCAGAAGAAAGTGCATTTCATTTTCAATAAAATTTGAATTACAATATAAACATATCCTCTCATGTCGAGGTAATATTTCATGTTTACCACATACATTGATAATCAATAGTAACCACTTCGTATTACCGGTATTTTTCATAACTTGCATGCAACTGATAACCTCATACCTGTGAATAGTTCATCACGGTTTCCAACCCTACATCTACATCTACATGTACGTCGCAATCTCCAAATTGACAGCCAATACCCACACATAAATAACTACACCTTGCTAAATCATCTGAAGTCTCACAAGTGGCTGGTCTATGGCTGGTCATACCCTCAACTTGCTGAAATACTAAAGTAACAAAAAATCATCTTCTTTTTGTATACACATTTACTTGTTGAAATAAAAACTACAATTAAATCAAATTATAACATTATAATTGCACTTACCTGCCAAAATAACCAAAAGTGAAAAATACACTGGCTTCATATTTACGTATTTTAAAAGTAATAACCAAAAATCGAAACTTTATAAAACACAGGTTTGATATTAGAAATAAATAGAGCATTATGATGATGTAATTGTATGTTGCACAAATCAATCGCCAGAAAAGTTTACTCGCTAAAATAAAACGTATTGTAATATTAATTCTGTTTCTAATAAAATCATATCAAACTGTGACGTCTGTTCCATATGTGTCTTTATATCTTAAATCATCGATAAATCTTATTATGGTTTCTACGATTTATAACTCCAAACTGTTGTGTGTGTTATAACGTTACAAACGAATTACTGTGATTTCTATTCTTAAGTTATTCTGGCTATAGATATAAGAAGATGTGTTATGAGTGCCAATGAGACAACTCTCCATCCAAGTCAAAATTTATAAAAGTAAATCATTATAGGTCACAGTACGGTCTTCAACACGGAGCCTTGGCTCACACCGAACAGTAAGCTATAAAGGGCCCCAAAAAATTACTAATGTAAAACCATTCAAACGGGAAAACCAACGGTCTAATCTATATAAAAAACGAGAAACGAGAAACACTTATGAACCACATCAACAAACGACAACTACTGAACATCAGATTCCTGACTTAGGACAGGTGCAAACAAATGCAGCGGGTTTAAACGTTTAAATGGTACCAAACCTTCACCCTTTTTCTGAAACAATAGTGTAACATCACAACATAGAAAGACACACTATAAAATATCAACTGAAATAGCATTCCTACATAAACAATAGGATTATGTAGGACTATGTTGTAACAACACGAAACTAATGAACCAAGGTAAATCTTGTGGAAAATAAAGAAAAAGAACAGTTTCTATTACAATATTTTAATTAATAATTTCATAGCACATTTTGTGTAAAAAAATAATATTCAAAAGCACAAAATGAATTTATAGGCACAATGTTATTCACAAGCAATTGAAATTATTTAGGTGAAAACATTGATATATACAAGTAAATTATATCAATTGAAATATAAATATATTAAAATTATAGTAATTATTCTCTGAAACAAAGCACTAAATTTTGAGTTACACTACATATTCATTGAAACAAAGCACAAAAAAGTACACTAAACTGACATTAAAACAGAGCACTAACACAGTAATACATTGCACTAAATTAAACACACAAGAGAATACAAAGTCTTAATCAATATGCAGGAGATGAGAAGCAGCATCTCCATACTGGACTGGCGTAAGTTCATCATTCTGTAACCTTATTTTCAGTGTGTGAATATAAAAATAAGAGGATGTGGTATGATTGCAAATGAGACAACTCTCTACAAGAGACCAAATGACACAGAAATTAACAACTATATGTTACCGTACGGCCTTCAACAATGAGTAAATTCCATTCCGTATAGTCAGCTTTAAAAGGCCCCGAAATGACAAATGTAAAACAATTCAAACGAGAAAACTAACGGTCTAATTTATGTACAAAATAATAAACAAAAAACAAAAATGTTACACAGCAACAAACGATAAATACTGAATTACGGGCTCCTGACTTGGGACAGGCACATACAGAATGTGGCAGGGTTAAACTCGTTTGAAGGCGCCAACCCTCCCCCTAACCTGGGACAGTGCTGTAACAGTACAACATAAAAACAAACTATATAAATCAGTTGAAAAAGGTTTAACTCATCAAATGGATACAAATAGAAATACATCTAACATTAGATTCTTTCCGTCATAGCAATTTAAGATTCGTCAAGTAAGAAAATTTCGGTACATACTTTGTTTTTGTGCAGAATAAAATTTGATAAAACAAAGTATATATTGAAATTTCTGAAAAACGGATTGAAAAATATTCAACCCCATTTCCTATCTTTAGAATTACTGCCATACAGTTCCCTTTCGTCATAGAAATATATTATTCGTCAAGTAAGAAAATTTCGGTAAATACTTTGTTTTTGTGCAGAATAAAATTTGATAAAACAAAGTATATATTGAAATTTCTGAAAAACGGATTGAAAAATATTCAACCCCATTTCCTATCTTTAGAATTACCGTTCCCTTTGTGCTGATCCTAGTACAGTCCTTGGTGTTGACAGAACTTTCAATTTAGGTTCAGTTTTTGTGACAAACTTTGTTTATAAAAACAAAAAGGTCATTTCGAGGTCAACTCGTGACCATCCACTATTCATTGGGCCAGTGTTTTTCCATTGGGACGGTTCCATGGAGACTTACTACACTTTCTTTTCACACTTCAAAGCTCGGATACTAACGGAAGTGCAATGTTTCGACGTCAAACTTGGTAGCGACGATAAAGGTGGTTTGACAGTTGCATTAGACAGCGTTTTTTCAAAGCCGGACAGATTACTCTGCACAAAACACATAAAAGACAATGTAACAGATTACATAAAAAACAAGCTGCCTCTAACATCTAATCAAAGATCGCAGATTATGTCCGACATTTTAACGATAATGGCATAGCAACAGCTGATGACACCATAGATTTCGACACCAAGTCCAATGAACTTTGTAACAGCTTTCCGTGTTTTGCCAATTATTATGAGATAAGACTTAAAAACCGCTTGTTCAATTATGTTAATCAACCCTATCGGAAATATGACTCTAACAGACTCTGGACAAACAATAACTGTGAGTCCATGAACCACCGGTTTAAGGTAGCACTGAACTGGAAACCTCATCAATTACCAGAACTTTTAGATAAAATTTACAATGTGATACAACTTCACCACACAGATTTAAGACGCAGTATAATTGGCAACGGCAATTATGAACTTTTTGGAAATTTCAAGAAACACAGAATACAACATTCCAAATGGCAAGTCTTTCCCAAATTGAAAAAGAAGTGCTTTACAGAAAGCTTGCCAGTGACAAAAAGTTTAGTGACAATATGTTAAGAGCGGCAAATGGTTTTGCGATACCGAAGGTTAAACGTCTCGGCAAGAAGCCTGGTCAACGTCACCGGCCAAGGACAGCTGCAGTGAGGACAAAACCAAAATTTTAAATGTTATTGTTAAATCATATGTATTTATTTATCATGTTTGTTTTATCTTAATAAATCATAATTGGAAATATAAAGTTTTGACTTTTTTGTTATAATGCAAGTATTCTTATACTTCACTTAAAAATATTATCATACGTAAGAAAACAAAGTGATGATATATGAGACAACAAAAAACAACAACACATTGCTATCCTATATAATTTTCGAAGTTTTGGGAATGCTTTACCCTTGAAAAATTACAACAATAAAATATCAAGAATAATAATTGACATTTTTATCATTTATGTTAATATATTTAAACTATTTAAAAATTCACATACACGAACTATCACTTAACCCGGATATAAAGTAGGTTCAAACCGATACCGGTGATAACTAAAAATCGTACATAATTAAAATCGCAATCTTTATTGAAATTGATTTTTTTTTTACATTTTTCTTCATGAATTATAATATTTTTATGTTTTGAAATGAATTTCAGGTCCTTTGTGCTCTTATCAAACTCATTTGTGGTCCTTTGTGCTCCTTTGTGCACAAAGGAGGTCCTTTGCGGTGTTTTTAGAGACCCACATGTGAGAGCATGGAAGGCTTCTTCTTGTCTCAACAACGTTATCATGCTGAAGATGTTTGGGTGGGGTGCATTGATTAACTTCTTCAGTTTACTATGCTAACCTTCTAATGGATTTGTTGTTACGGTTACGGTTATATGTTTTTGGTGGACGGCTTACCAACTGGTAATTGCGCCCTGGTAACTAACTTTTTGGAATGAGTCCATTATATTAGTAATATTAAACTTTAGAAAAAAAGTCCATTAAAAATACAAAATTAGAAAAATAAATATATATTATATAATACTTTGAAGGCGACTATCTTTGCTTTGAGGTAGTGCGCCTAATTGACCTATACTAGTTTAAACTTATTTTAATAAATTTAAATCGAAAACAAATTAAGAAAGAAATTAGTGTTACTAGTATTTTGAAAATTAACTTCTATTAATGATTGAGACTTTGGTTTTTGACCTGTACTTTTATATCTAATTTTAATTAAAAGACAAATACTGTATGTTTGTTATATTTTTCTTATTTTTTGTTTGTTTTTTCATCTGTTAAAAAAATTAAATCAAATTAAAAAAAAAATTTATAAATATAATTAAATAAATGAAAATATTAATTAATGATATTATAAAATTCGGGACATTCTACTTCTAAATTAATTACAAGGGTTGCAGTTTGAATTGTACGGGCTTTGTTGTCATTTCAGTACAATCGCTGTACTTTGCGCTGACTCCACTGTTTTCCAAGCTACGTACATGTCAAACTGAATAAACTTTAACATAATTTCATGCCCTGTATATCACGACTACCATGTCCGGAGGCGACCACTGGTTGGCACCGCTAATCTACATGTCTATGTGTAATGCATACGACTTTTTAAATGAATTAGTTTGATAATTCAATACTAGTATTAGAGAGAAAAAAAAATTGTAGCTTTAGCATCTAATTTGAAAACTGAGTAGAGAATATTTTGTTTGTTGCTTAAATGTTAATGTACTATTTGAGAACTATCTGATATGCTTAAAAAGTTTGCTATTTTTTTGGTCGCTAAGGAATGTATTCTACTATATGTTGGATGGTATCTGTTGAGTTTCCAACCCTGACCATTAGTACTACAAGCTTTAGATTATATAATTTGTGTTGGATTAATGTTCGTTGTAGTAATACCTTAAGATGAAAGGCATGTATATGTGTAAAAAAAAAGCAGTATCTTCATCGTCTACCCTTTCTGTTTTTGTCTACTTTTCACTTGAACTATTTAATTGACCTTGTAGTGTTGTTGTTTACATATGTAATGAAACTAAGAAATGTGGGCGTGTTTGACTGGGTATTTGGTTCGTGAATCACGTCCTTGTATCTGAGTGTGGATGTACTATTGTTGGAACACGTGTTTGTGGTATTGGTGTTATTGAAGAAGTGGGGGTAAGTTTTGTGTTTACATATGTACTTTCTAACCTGTTTTCTTTCTTGATTTGTTGTTCTGGGACCTTCCGTTTTTGTTTAAAAAATCATAATTTATTCAAA